TTTTTGAAATTATATTTTAAAATATTTGTAGTTATTTTTTTTTTCCCCAAAAAAATATTAATTAGGTTGGTTAATTGGACTAGACAAGCCCATAGAGCGATGAAGCTTGGAATAAGGGAAAATTACACAAAATCCTACCTTTAAACTTTCAAATTCAAATATAAGGTATAAAACTATTTTTTTCAACAATCAGGTGAAAAATTAAATTTATAATAATTATATAATTAAATTAATTATATACCTAACCCATCTATCCACCCACCATAATTTCAAATCCCTAATTTCTCTATCCCTCTCCCTTATCTCCCCTCTCTCCCTTTTATATCTCTCTCAATCTTCAGTACTGCCATCTCCGCTGCCTAAACCACCTTCTACAACTCTTCAGCCACCAGCTTCTGATCCTGCTCATGGTCCTGGTCCTTCTCCAACAACTTTCCCTTTACCTCCTCCACTGGTTTCTTCTTCGACTCCAACTCGACCTACTATCGACTCTCCGCCACCTCCTCCTCCATCGCTTATCTTTCCAGCGATTTATTTTTTTGATCATTTATAATAAAAAATTTCGTTGGAATAATCGATTTGGTCACTAAATTCAAGAAAATACACCAAATTCGAGAATTTGGCGAAGAAAATGGATTCATATGTATCATCCAATTGGCATGTATTTAGTTCATTCAAGAAAATTAATAATATACTCACAAAATCACTGTCTTTCCCAATTCCCTTTCTTCAACCCATGAAAAATCTCACAAAATTCGGTGTCGAAACAACAATATGTCAACGACGCAGCGAATCTGCATTTTTATCTCCCTTTTTCTCACTATCGAACCATTGCTAATTGCAACTACAGACGATGGCGGAACCCCTCCTTTGACGGCCTACAATGTTCTTCAGGCTTATGACTTCCCGGTGGGCATCCTTCCCATGGGCGTGACCCACTATGAAATAAATAAAGCCAACGCGAAATTCAATCCATATTTCAATAGTTCGTGCAGTTTCTCAATTGAAGGTTCGTATCAATTGAGGTACAAGTTGAAAATCAATGGGTACATCTCTAAAGACAAGCTTACCAGCCTTTCTGGGCTCAACATCGGTGAGGTTAAAAGGAATGGGGATAAACGTGAGTTCTTCGTGGGAATTTTATCTACTAAATTTGGGATCAACAATTTCTATGAAAGCCCACGATGCGGGTGTGGATTTAATTGGAAAAGTATTGAAAAGAATCGGCAGAAAAGGGGGTAATAGCAGTAGTCCCTCTATTTCTTCAATCTAGCAGAGGTCAGTCGGTTTTGTGGTGACCATTTGTGATCAAATATGTGTTTATTGTGACTGATTGAGATCAATTCTGTGTGAATTGTAATCGATTGTGACTAGTTTTGACAAATTCTGTGTTAATTGTGACTGGTTGTGACTTGATCACATACCGTCACAATTAAAATTGACTTGGTCACAAATAGCCACACTGAATACAAATTTGGTCATAATTAGTCACGAATGACACATCAGTGACTTGATATTTTTAATTTTTGAAATTTTTTTGCAAGGTAGGGGTGGGGTAGGTAGATCCATAGATTGGGATGTGATTTCTAGTTTTAAATTTTGAAAGGTGGGGTGGGTCTGTGGGGTGAGGTGATATTTGAATTTCTGGAAATTTTTTGGAAGGTAAGGTAAGGTGGGGTGGGGGTGGCCGCGCAGGGTGAGGTATGGATAATTAATTATATATTATATATATTTAATTGAAATTAACACCTAAATTTTGAAATAATTTAACAAGTGTGTTAATTTTGAATGTGATTTTAATATGTAAGATTTATGTATTGTTCCCTTGGAATAAACAAAGTTGGTCCCCTTTTACTCTATTAGGCTTGACTTTTAAACAAGAATCAATTATTAGTTGGGAAAATTAAGCCCGCTATCCTCCAAAAAAATAAAAGGGAAAAAATCATATTTAAGGTGTTTTCTTTACCTCAATTCAAAAATAAGGTAAATAGTTTAAAAATTCAAAAATCAGGTATTTATTTAATTAATTAAAAATATTTATTAAATAAAGATAAAAAAGTCACATTTTGTGATTAATGGTCACATATTCATAATTTTAAGTTACAGATTTATTTACTGGTCACATATCGTCAAATTTTTTGATC